TTTGATAAATTATGCTTAGTTTATATTTCTAAAATAGTGTATTCTAGCATTAAAACTGGCAGTAAGTAAACATTAAATTCCTTCAACATTTACTCCAGTAAGACAAAATAAGGCTGGGAAAGACTTCTTATTAAGGTAAGTCTCAATTTAATCTAAAACAGTGTTAGCAGTATTTAGCAAATATCTTGGATAGAAACCGAGGAGTGAACAATAGAAAAAGAAAGAAATTCAATAACAGAATCATAGAGCTGGGGACAAAATAATTGGGAGAAAAAAATCCAAACATACTCTGAACATATGTTGATTTTGCTTGTAGCATAGTATATAATCAGAAGGGAACTCTATGTCATAAGGCAACTAGTGATAGTATCTTGTTTAATTGACGTTTTTTCACAAAGATGCCCAAACAAGTTTATACTTTGAGTATGTTATTGCTGCTGTTACTTATGGTTCTATTTCAGACTTTTGGTGTTGTATTTCTGAGACCAATTACTGCAGAGACAAAGACAAATGAAATTCTGTGAAGAGGAATCCCCTGGCACTTTTGCAACTCAAAAGCTCAGAATTTTCTTATGAGAAGATCATTGAATAAAAAGATGTTTATGAAATATCAAGGTGATACACGAAAGTAAGGGAAAAAAGGAGAAAATGCTATAGTGCATTCTTTATTCCTTCTTATTATTATTCAGGTACTTAACACTCAGACTCCTCTGTTGGTTGGAAAAATGACAGTGACTTCGGTCAGCCTTCCAGGTCTCTCTCTCTGGAGACCAAAGGAAAGAAAGAAGGAATGTTTTGGCATCCTTGCACATTTGTTTATAACTTGCACTTCATTCCAATCCTGTTCATGTGCTTACTTCAAATATGATGAATTCTGATAGTAACTGTGATTGGAAAGGGCATTAGAAATCACTCCTTCTTCAGTATACAGACTTCAGGTGGTGGAGAATATAAAGCACTCTGTATTATTCCTATATAAATTTACCTTTTCTTCATTGATTTTAAGATTCATGTGTGCAATAGATTTGAAAATATTTTAATACTCAATATCAACAATGTTGACTGTTGCACAAAATCATGAATATTTTGATGCTTAAATGTATAGCTAAGACTGACTAAAAAATGAAGGGTTTAAAAAGTATATGAAGGTTTAAGGTTTGTTTTCATGCAAATAAAGAAATCAGATTCTTCAATTGCCAAAATAGACATCCATTAAAATTAATTTTTTTTTGGGAGCCTCCATGTCACCCATTTGAGTTACTATTTTGTAGATTCCTTATTGTCAGTAAAATGAATGACAGATATAGAGGAGTATTCAAAGAATAATTTGTAATGCCCACTTCTGTAACTTTTTTTTTTTTTAACTCCAATGGATTGTAAAAGGGAATAAGACATTTTTGCACACTAAAATAGGTTCCTACATATAAGTGACACAAATATTCTTTCTTCTTCTTCCTTTTATTTTAGTAATTATGGAATAGAGTTTTCATAGGCAGAAAAAAACTGTTCTGAAGCTCCTAATTGATACTGAAGTCCAATAGATCATGTATATGGCTTTCTGCAAGCCTTGACCATATGTTACCTTCCACTATAGATTTTAAAGTGATTCAAAAAGGATTGCAGTATATTTATTCTTTAATTCTTAACTGAAATAGCTGTTGTAAAACCAGGATTCTAAGCACACACAGTTCCTTGGAAGTTTTACAGTTTCAGAATTTACAGGCTCAAGACAAATATATCTAGGGGTATAAGTGGGCTCCTGGGAAATGGATGACCTGACAGAGATGCAAAGAAAGTGAGATCAAGAAATTTTTTTATGAAAAGAGATCCCTGATTTTAGTGTCTTCAATATATTGAGCTCAAATTTTTAGCAAAGTTTTTTGCAATAGCTTAAAGTTCTTTGCATAGATTACTCGGATAACACCAACAGAACATTTTCTGAAGAAGCAAAAATTTCCCAGAAAATGTGCTGTTGAAAGGGTTTTTGTACCCTAAGAGAAAGATGGCCAGCTGACTAATGAATAGCACCTCCATTAATCAATACACTTGTGCGAGTTTTGGGAAAATTAGGAATTTGTGCAAGTTTCAAATAGAACTCCTCCAGGAAATTTTCACATGATGTGTTGCTACAAAATTTATTCTGCTTTGTAAGGATTCTTGTACAGAAAATTATGAAGGAGTGAAGGTAGGTGTTCTGTGGCATTAGCATTCTGTTCATAAAAACAGTGGTAGACTGTTAAATGCTAATGTGTACTGTAGAATATCCTAAGGAAGATTAAACATGAAATCAATTTATGCCAATAACATATAGCTTCTGACATCTGCTAAATTCTCTTCTTGAGTCCGAACACCAGTGCATGTGAACTTTGTACTGATTTAAACTTGGAGATCAGCCCCAGAAAAGTATAACCTCTTTTTATTTGTTTATTGCCTGGTTTATTTTATAGGCATTACTGTCTCAGCAGCTTAGATCTTGGCAGCTGTCTTCATGAAGAGATGAGATTGTGTATGCTAGTGATGACATGAGTGTTTAACCAGAGAGAAACTGAGAGACAGAGGAAAGCACTGGCAGATTTACAATATTACTATTATAGATGTTTTTGAAGTGTGGAGGTGGTTGTTTTTTGGAGTATTTTTTGTTTGTTTGTTTGGGCTTTGTTGTTGTTGTGTTGTTTTGGGATTTTTTGGGTCTTGTAGTAGACTTAGAGTAGGTGGGAAGAACTGTGCAACCAATTCTCTGTAACTGTAGAGTGGGGTTTAGATATGATTTTCTTGACATCCAAATAAAGTGTTCTGGCAGGACAAATAGCAAAGGAATGCGATGACTCACTCAGTTCATAAGATTTTGAGGAGGAATAGTGAAGAACTTCCTTCTTTGTGTGACTTTTCATTTTCCACTTCACACGTTAAAATAAAAATAATCATGCCCTACCTGCCTTCCAGGAGGAAACCCAAAGATATATCCATTACAATGTCAGTCAGAAATAGAACAAAGTAACTGTGAAAATCTGCTGCCTTTATTCCTGCATTTTCTAAGTTGGCCATTGTTTCCTGACACTATACAGTTAAAGGATTCTTTTAAAGATAGCACATAAAAAAGGAGCATGACAATAGATTTGTCATTAGTCCCAGCACTGTAAAATTTAGGAAGATTTAATGTACATATTTCAGAGAATGAACAGAAAGTTTGTTGGGTGACAAGACAACTAGGAGAAATGGAATAGATATTATTGTTGTAGAGACCAATGGAATAATAAGGAGTCTCTGATGAAAATGAGAGCAGTCAATACCTTTGTCATAGCATCCTACTGAACCAGTTTAATAAGGCCTCTACAAGTAGAGCTACACAGCAGATACTACAGAATTGGAGGTGATTGCTTTTTATGAATTCTTGCAAAAATCTTGAGTTGTTTCTAGCAGTTTATGATGGCAAGAATGCTTCAAATAGCAGGATAAATTCAGAAAGAAGGAAAGTGTGAGTCTGAAACCACTGATACTGAATTAATTTGAAATGTCTTTTTGTCTTAATTTTACTCATAGTACTGAAAATTAAAAACCGAAAACTGACTTTAGTGTTCTGAATCCCAAGAGAGCTTGTGTGTGTTTCCAAACCAGAACTTATTCTGATAAATAATGCTAGATTCAAAAGACCTCGATTTATAAATCTTGACTTTTTTCCTAAAATATTACGATATTTGCATACATATTTGTTGTCCTTGGACAACATCTAGTCTCATAACAATCCATCACATAAATTCTACAGTTAACAGGTTCAAAAGCAGAGTGACAGTAAGATTTTATTAGCTACAGATGGAAGGATATGATGAATCATTCACAGGTATCAAACTGTTGTAAAGATCACATGCCATTATTTCAGCAATCCAGTTATAATGCATTGACCCTTAATATGCCAGTCTTAACAAATAATTGCTTTCATGAATGATTATTTAGCAGGTTGTTTATAACATTATTTTCAATTGTGACAGCTTGAGGAAACAATGAAATGTTGCTGCATAATCTGTTCTCTGCCTCACAGGTATTTCCTGGTAGAAATGATCATGAGAAATGTGAAGTTTTTGAAATTATGTTATAGGCAGGAAGCAGGAAGGCCCTTTAATTATGCCCTTAAGTACAGAATATTTGCTTAATTGCTTAGTAGCCCTTGTATCCTGAAAATTCAATTAAGTGATGATTAACTATTCATTATAATATTTTTCTGTTATTATTCAGTACAAGCTGCACATTAACTTTTAAAGTCTTTATCATGTTAGGAATTAAGCAACTCCAATTCTCATCAACTGCACAGACTGACTGTGATACTACAATAACTTATCTATTTCCCTTGCTCAATTAATAATACCTGATTCATCAGACAAATCAGAATTGCCCATGGAAAAAGTCTGGCATTTTAAGCAGTGGCAGTTAATTCTGTTTCCTGCAGCAGACCTCTGTTCCGTTAGGCAACGTGCTCAGTTTCCTTGGCCCAACTAATTCAGTCTGGAAAGCTGTGATATGATACAAGCTGCTCAAGAGGGGCCTCCAGAAGAGGATATGTGCAGTTTAGAGCCCCTTAACCTCCATTGGAATGTGAATGTCTAAGCTCAAATAACTGAGGAAAAGGTGGCTTTTTAAAAATACAATTAATTGTTGGTGTTCCACTAATTGGGACATTGGAATCCCAGCTAGTTACTCACCCCTATCCTGAAGTAATCCCTACTGACTTCTCACTTCTTTGGAGAACATGTGGGTCATGAAGAAATGTGCCACTGTCAGGGAAGCCCTCCACATCTCCCTTTGAATTTGTGCTGCTCACTACTGTGAACTGCAGGAAGAACTCAAGGGCAGTGACCAGCAGACCTTTGCCTGGCACAAGGAGATGAGCTGTGCAGATCTGAGATACAAGAAGATTGTGACATTATTTCATCTTTGTAGCAAAGGTTAGCATATTAGGTTCCTTGTTTTTCTTGTTCCCACTAGATAAACTTTGGATCTTGTTTCAGATGCCACTCTTGCTTTCTACCCTGAGTCATAATTGCCTTTTGGGGCACTGAAAGGATTCCCCTCTTGGAATAAAATGTAGCAGAAGTGAGGTAAGTTCTGCCCCATGCACTTCCTAAGCACCGTGTAAAGCATTACTTTGTTTAGCTGATTTGCAGGAATAAGAGGAAGAAAGAGAAAGTAGAACATAGGTGTGCTTGAATGCTCTGCTGCATTAATTTCAGTTATAGTGGTATGTGTCAGCTGTTTCTAGAACTAATCAGCTGAATTTCTGGCAGTCAAAATATTGGAAAGCTGAGGAGTTTATAAGGATAGTCAGTAAGAAAACACATTTTTTAAGTCACCCTTTAAATAACTTTTGTACTATATCTAAACTGTATCTCTACCCATATTTTTAAGTTATTGGGTACTCCTGAAACTTTCTAGTATTAAACAATTTCTGAAGATATGACTTTTCACTTTAGTGCTACTACAATATCATATTCTCAATATAAAAATTTGCATACATGTTGAGCCCAGAAATGCCTTAATCACGGCCCTAAACTTGTGTGTGTGACAAGCAAGTGAAATTAGGATTGAGAAGGAAATAAGATAAAACTCTATAAAGGGGAAGCAGTGGAAACCAGTTCATTCAGAAGCTCTGCCATGAACTGATGAAAGAAGAGATTTTGTTTTCAGAAATCCTTACAAAAGTTCTCATTTTTCATTCTTATTTTTATGTGTATTATTAACATTACCACATGAAGCCACAGGGTTCCTGATCCAAAATTACTGGGTGGCTTCTTTGTGGAAATTTTATATATGTCTCTTAAAATAATTTTGAATGACAACTTATTAGCTAGACACATTATAAAATTATCTTATATATAATTTTATGATTGGTAGTATCAATCATGGAGATTGATACATATATAGTAGACTATGCATATTTCTAGCTGGTACATTAAGTATACTTGGATAATTTTTATTTAATCTTTTAATCTGAATATTTATATTTTAATAATTAAAACCATGAAAGGTTAATATTTTTAGTACATTAAAATTTAATAAAATTAATATCATAAGCATATTCTGACAGAGGGGAAACTAGATACATTTCACACTTTTGGGTCTGCCTCCAGTCAGGACTGCTTAAGGGCAAATCTACATTCATCCTTATTTCTGCATTTTACTGTAACATTTTCTTATAAAGAGGAGTGTCATTATTAGTTTGAGTTTGATTAATACTATATAAAAAAGCCCATAATGTTTTAAGATCAGCATTGGGTTTTAATCTGAGTACTTAACAGTGATGAGACTTATATAAGAGAGAATTTTTAACTTGTTTTTCTAGCAGGGCTTTTTTTCAGAGGTGACCAGTCATGAATATTGTTAGATTTTTTTTTTTTCTTTTTAGATTTCTACAGCCCACAGTTTTTCTACATGAATGTTTTTAATGTCTCCTTTAAGTGATGGGGACACAATTCTCAAGACAATTACTAGTCATTTGATGATTATATTAATCTCTGTGCCAGTAGCTAAAACACCAGTGGTTTAAATCACAAGATGAGGCAAATTGAGTGTGCATTCGTCCAAAGGAAATCCTCCTAATCCTCCTATCAAAAGTGCTACACCTATTAAAAAATTTCAGTGTTAAGCTCACTGAAATGTAGTTCACCAAAGCTCATGTATATTTTCAAGTGGTATCTAAGTATGAAAATATTTCTAAGGAACTTCACAATAGAGAAATTTCTTGAAGTGCTGCCTGAATTCAGGTCTGGTAGTGGTTAAACCTGTCATGAGGTCTTTCTTAATGATTGCTCCTCTGTTCTGCAAAATGTAATAAGAGCCCTGCACTAAACAAGGCTTTGCTTTGTGTGGGTGTTTGTGTGGGTGTGTTCCATGCAAAACAAAAACTAATAGGAACATATTACCAGGTTTTCTTGATGCTCTAGACAAAGTGATATCAAAGTGTCCAATTACTTTTTACTAGTTTGTGGTCTCTATAGTGCTGAAATGCACTATTTTCAATGCTTTTAGGAATGCAACCAGGCATAACACAATTCATGAAGTTTTAATTTCATATGAATGGCAATTATCCATAAGCCTCTACATAACAAAACTGCTAACATTATAGCTGAACATTTGGTTGAAATGTTCAGCTATAAGTAAAGAGGAAATATTCTGACATGTCCTAAAGCATAATCTGCATTTCCTTATTCTTCAGACTTGTGAGAAAATAATCAAAACTGAAAATACTTTTATATACTTCCATTGTTTGCCTATAGAAAATCCAAGGTTGCATGTAATTTGCCTTTGTAAGATGCTTTAGCTGGAACTGATCCTAGATTGTAATTCTCAGCCCACTGACTTGTGTTACTGGATAGGAATAAGTTTTCCGTATTGTCAGGAGTTCCAAGCTAGAATAGCTTGAGACTTATTTTATGTCTCTTAGGGAACAAACAAGAAAAAAACAAAACAAAACAAAACAAAACAAAACAAAACAAAACAAAAAAGGTATAGCCTGGTCTTTAAGTCCTTATTAGGGAAAAAAAAAAAATAGTGACTGTTATTTTCTATAATCTGAAGTAATAACACCATAATATTTTATCCTAGGAATGGATTACTTTGTATTTGATTTGCTTCCATTTTCCAATGGTCTATGCTCCATTGACTTTGTTATTTAGAGATTTTCTTGTCAGAGCTCTTTCTTGCCTTCTAAGCTTTGAAAGAGATCAGATAATCTTGAACTCAAAGCTGTTTTCCAGTTTCAGTCAGAAAACTGGGCAGATTTTTGACTTTTAAAATTTGTTCTTCAGTTATTGGAAAACATTTTTTCAGAAGTTAATGATCCTTTATATGCCTAGGAGAGATTTGTATCTATGTAGGAAAGGAGGTTAATGTCATGCGTGAAAAGTATTTTAAAATTGTTTTAATCAGTCTACATTTTTGTCTCTCAGAGAAATTAAAAGCCAGAATAAACTGGCCTGAGCATTTCTAAGATTATAAACTCTCAGGCATGTATCATTTTGGTTCAGGTTTCACAAAGCCAACTTTAGTACAGAAAATGTTTTCTTAAAACACCTACTGTGCCCATCAACTAATGAAATGTAACAGGACCATATTTTAAAGTTTTCTCTGTTAGCAAAGTATGTTGATTACATAAAGTTTAATTTGAAAGAGGATAATTTTACTTGAATTAATTAATATGCAGCTGAATTTTAGGCCACTAACAAGTTGAACATTCAAGAAAATATTTTTGTTTCCACAAGAGACTCCTGACCTACCAGAAGAAAGGAAGCCCACCTTAAAAAACTGAAAAAAGCCAGTTTTTTTCTATCAGTGCTTCTTTTTATAGCTCTGTCTGTAGAATTTTAAGAAATAAATCCAAAGGAACCTTTCATGTGCTTGATGTATTTTATATTTTTATGATTCTAATGCACATATTTTTTGATAATACATTATTTTCATTTTATGTCCTAAAAGTTTCATGTCTAAAGTTCATTTACTTACATAATCACCATAGAAGTGTTGCTCAAAATAAACAGAAGAAGCAATATGCTTTCCAAGATTTGAGGGAGTAGGGATTTAAGTTTTCATTTTGCATTATTACCAAAACAAATTTATTTAAAGGGTAAAAGATAGGCATCACTTATTTTGGGTTTTTTGGCCTGTAGTTTTTACTTTCAGCAGTACAGCAAAATGAGTTTGCACTACTACAGTATTTCAAGAGTGACAGCTGAAAAGAGAATAATTACTGATAAACCACTTAAAGTTAAAATTCTATTTAGTAGGAATTCTAGTGTTCAAATATTTCAGTTTTATAAAGGGGACTAAATAATGAAATTAAGTAATTTATATATTAAAAGAACATGTTTTGTTTACAGTGTCCTCTTGATCACACAGATACTAAAATGCAGTTGTACAGTGCAAAAATCTTAATATACTAATTATGCTCATCAGGATTTAAGAAGGTTAATCAGATGGAAATGGGTGTGTCAGCCTAGATTTGAAGTAACTAATAAAACAATAATTGACAGCTTTCCAAATGCTGCTTTAGAAAGGCAAAGGAAAAGCATTGCTTGACCTTGATGACTGCTCAGATTTTCAAGGTGCTGCTTTGGAATAGCACTGGAGGCCCACAGGTTAGGAACTGCAAACGGTTGCAAATGCAGCTACAAAAAGGAGACCACTACTGCAAGGGTGGGTTTACCTATAGAAAGTGATTATTTAGGGGAAACGTTTAGGTGAGCTACTACACTGTGATTTTAGTAAGATTAGTATCCTACTTTGTGTAGTTAGGAAAATGCTGCCTAAGGAAAATGTATGATTATGGGTTTTGATTTTGGTTTTCTTTGTTTAATGTTGACTCAGTTTACCCAGGGAAGGTTTCTGCCGTTCTGAGCTGCTCAACCTAGTGTAACATCACTCCATCTTAATAATAGACACAGATTCACAAGCAAATCAGTGAGTGGGGGTTAAAGAAAAGAAATGCATTTTCATGACTCAGGAATGCATTTTAGAATAGTTGCTTGGATATGTCTTCAGAACAATCTTAGCTTTAAGCATAGGAGTGAGTATACATTGTCCAAAGGATGCTATCATAAGAGCTCAAAGAGAAAAAAAACAACTGTCTGAACTTTACAAGCCCGTGTGAGATTCAATGAAAAATAATTTACCTCAATGATAATGAAGACATTATTAAATATTAATAAGTAATAAATTAATAATTGTATTTCAGTTTGTGTTTAGATCATTGCTAATGATTTAAGTGAGGCTTGTCTCCTCAGTATGCATTGAATTTCTATGTCAAGGTTGATTTGTTCTGGGAATGACTTAGCTGCAAAAAGTTGTTCCTTGCAGCAGTTTTCCAGTTTTCAGAGCCACTCTAGATTATTTTGCTGTATTGACTGTTAGCACAGCTCAGAGATTAGCGTGACAGCTCCTAAACTGTTGCAAATCACATTCTGGTGAATTAAGGAAAACTGAAATTGAGGGTTTGTTTAGGTCAGAAAGTAAACAAATTGGTTTAAGAGTCACTATAAATTGTTTAACATGCACAGAGAAATCTGACTTTCAGTAAGCACCTAGAAGAAAGTAAGTTGAAAGTGGGAAACACTGCAATTACCATAGCAACACTTTACTTACCTGTGATTTCCTCTATAGATTTTCCCTATAGAACTGTATGAATATAATTACATGCACTCAGTATTCCTGGGATTTTGTAATTCAATTTTTAAAAGAGACTAAAAACCCCAAAATGTTACACATATTTTATGATGGGCAACAATCTCTGTGAGGGCACCGTATTTATTTTCTTCCCTTCTGTTTTGGCTTGTTCATAACTAAAAAGCAAAAAATGAAATATCTCTGATAGAGCTAAATGATAAGAGAAATGTGGGACTTTTGAACATCATTCTTTTAATAAAAATACTACCCTGTAATACCCTGTAATCCTAGCTAAATTATGTTATATATAAACAAAAGAAAACTAAACAGGACAAAACCAACCAAAGAAAGATAAATTCATAGCTTCTTGTTAAGCCAGATCTAAGAGTTCTTAAAAATATAAAATAATTTGTCATTCAAAGAGTTTAGGATTAAGTTGCTGGGTCAAAATGTCATTCACTCTAAGCCATTTGATTTTGGCTTTTGGAATTTTCTGATTTTCTATTTAATTTAATCTTTTTTTTTCCAAATGAAATGTTTGTTTGGATCAAAGAACTAATTTTTTAAGCCAAATTCATTTGCAAATTTGGCACAAAATTAGGATTTTTTAAATGCTCTGAAGTATCACATTTTTCCACTATTTTTCAAGGGCAAGTTATTTATTCAGATGTAATGATAAATCTGCACTTCTGTACTGAAAATGAAAGATATTCCTACTTGTGGAATTTAATATGATGTCTTTATTGTTTCACTAGCTAGTAATGTAGTTCTGCATCAAGGTCACAGGGAGATTATGCATCCTAATACTTTAAATGTGCAAGGATTTAATGGCCTGAAGAACTTAGTCTTGGAGACTGCTTTTATTTATGTGTAAATTCAAGATCACTTAAGTCCAAAGCCAGCTGTAAATAAAATCTTTATAGCTGGAAAAATCTTTTACAATGTGTTGTAGAAATACCTCTTATTTAAGTAGCTACGAGTTGTCTAAACTCTTAATAGGAAAAGATTTTGTATTTTCTTTCAGGTAAAGAAAAGCTACAAAGCTATTTTAACTAATATATTTTGAGAAAGGAACAGTGAGGTCTATACTTTCTTAAGTGTAAAATGCTGTTAAATTGTGAATGTCAGATAATGCAGGTTGAATATTGTGTAGAAAAAAAAAATGAAAGTGAAGACAATTTCATTCATCATCATAATCTCATGCTTCTGGGAATAAAAAGATCAAGAGGTCTTGGATTAAGAAATAATATTTGTCTCTTCATCTAGATTACACAGTGGGGGGACACTTAAAAATCCTAAAAAGAATTACTGTGAATAGCATGTTGCTACTAGTTAAGAAAGATGCCTGATTACAGTACAGAGCAAGAGGTAACCAACCTCTGTGTATGTGGTTCCAATGGCTCCCACAGAGAATTCAAAGATGAGACAAGCTTAGTTAGGTTCAAAAGAACTCACTGGTGTTTCCATTTGGCTATATCACTCACTGTATATCCATATTTCTACTTTAGATTTTGGAGACTACTCATGTTTCTGACTGGAAACATATATCTGACAGTAGGATCACAGA